CGCCCCTACCCATGTGCTGCAGTTCCTAGCACGTGGCCGGGGTTGGGGTGGGCACATATCAATGCAAACGAGGTTTTACGCAATATCGGTAACTATTTAGGCTTCTATATGAAGCCCTGGCTTCGGGTCTCCCTTGGGGCTCGTGGGGTTTGGGGTTTGAGGGCTCCTTACAAGGCTCCTTCGAGGGATCCTCGGGGTTCTATAAGGGCTAAGGCTTCAGCATTTATGGCTTAGGGCCTAAGGTTTCGAATGTGGGGTTTGGGGTTTAGGGGTTTAAGGCTTAACGCTTAGGGTTTAGGGCTTAGGGTCTAGGGCTTAGGGCCGAATGTTTCGGGCTTGGGGTTTGGGGTTTGGGGTTTCCAAGGCTCGATGTGGCCGGGCTGCGTTGCACCAGCGCCCGCAATTCACGGCGGGACATTCCGCCGCTCGCCTTCGCGACGGTTCGCGATGGGGAGGCCCTCCATAACCCGAAAAAGTGATGCGTGATCATAAACCCTACATCCTTAACCCTAGACCCTAAACCCTAAACCCTAATCAATCTGCGTGCTGCATGCATCTCATGCATGGCGCCCTGCAGGCTGCTGAGCCGGCTCAATGGGGAAGCCTCCGTCTACGGTCAGCGTGGCCCGGCAGCACACTCCATCGAGTCCAACGCAGACCTCATCGAAGCGATCAATCGCAAACTCGGGCGATAGGAGTCGTCTTGATCGCCGAAAAAGCGTCACGCCGCTTTGCACTTAGGAATCTAAGGATCGAAGGCTGCAGGTTGTTTCCAGGCATTTATAAAGATTTTACAAGGCTTCATTCATGAAGATTCGTTGGGGTTGTGCTGCTTTAAGGTTTCAGGATTGTTTTGGTGTGATTTATTGGCTTATGCCTCTGGGGTCTACGGTCTACGGCCGAGTGAAAGCCCTGCACCCCAGACCCCAAACCCCACGTACAACCTTCCAAACCCACTACAAAACGCTACAAAACCTGTAAAAAGTCCAAGAACTCTTATATGGCCCCAGACCGAAAACCCTAAACGCCAGGCCTTTCACCCTAAGGCCACAAACCTCAATCCTAAACCCTACACCCTGCACCCCTAACCCCCAAACCCTAAACCCTCAACCCCGAACCCGATAGATCCTAAACTCCAAACCCTAAATCCTTATGGATCTCTTTGAGGAGCCCTTAAGGGAACCCCTGAACCCCAATCCCTAAACCCTAAAACCCTTACCTACCCGCAGGTAAGTTGTATAGGGTTACGGCAAACCCTAAAACCCTAAACCCCTAAAGAACCCCTCTAGAATCCTATAGACTTTATTTAAAGGAACCCTAAACCCCTAATCCCTTGCCTGAATGCCATCGACGGTGAGGCTTGCCACAGCCTTCCCCGCGGTGCTGTCCTGGCTGGCCTCTCAAACTCCGAAACGGTTTAGGGCTTTGGGGTTTAGGGCTTAGGGTTTAGGAATTAGGGTTTAGGGTTTAGGGTTTGGAATTTGGGGTTTGGGGTTTAACTTTCTGGGTTCACCACATTGGAGCATAGTTTTAAAGATGATTTGTGGTAGGATTCCTTATGCTTCATCTGTAAAAGCATCAGGAACTTAATGTTCCAACTTTCAGCGGTTCACTGCAGACTTGAGGTATTGGGAGCTAGGATTAGGGTGACCCTCGGGGATATAGACCCTCTCAATAAGGTCCCTTTTAAGAGAGCCACAAGTAGGGTTCAGAAGGGGTACCCTTTAAGGGGTACCCCTAATAATACTACCTAAGTATGAGAAACCCTAAACCCTAAAGTCGACGTTGTCGAGAAAGCTTGTCCTAGGGTTTTTAGTTCAGACGTTAGGGCTCAGAAACCGCCAAAGAACTTATGTAGTTAGGGTTTAGGGTTTAGGGTTTAGAGGTTTAGGGCTGAGTGTTTAGGGTTTAGGGTTTGAGAGAGGGTCCATATACACTACCTTTGTGGAAGTAGATCTCCGAAGACCATTCTTACTATGGTTTGCGAGACCTAGCTCCATAACAGTAGGATGTATGGACCCTTAATCACTAAACTCTAAACCCAAACCCTCATGGTACTCTTAGAGAAACCCTCCAGCGCTATTTGAGCATCATCTGGACCCTCCTTAGTTTAGGGTTTAGGGTTTAGGGTTTAGGGTTTAGGGTTTAGGGTTTAGGGTTTTGGGTTTAGGGTTTAGGGTTTAGGGGTCTGGGTCGTCCAAGCGGCGCAAAGGCACACGAGGTATTGCCCAGGATCAACGGCGAGCTGCGAGAAGCTAGCCACGTAAGTGGCATTCCTCGGCTGCTCCGGCTAGGGGTTTCGGGTTCGGTTTAGGGTTTAGGGTTTAGGGTTTAGGGTTTAGGGTTTAGGGTTTAGGGTTTAGGGTTTAGGGTTTAGGGTTTGGGGTTTCGGGTTCGGGGTTTGGGGCTTTGTAGATCTTTAAAAAGGTACGGGTTTTCATATCGGTTTGTTTTATTTTTGTTTTTATGGGGTTGTTTTAGCCGGTTATGGGGTCTTGCAGCACTACACGGGGTGGCGTAGGGTTTCACAGGGGTCTTGGGGGTCAGGGTGCTATGGATCGTTGATGGGCTTTGAAGGTCTTACAGTTCACAGGGCTGCATTGCGTTTCATAAGGGTTTGGGGTCCCATCAAGCCCTAGACCTAGATCTATAGGATCCCTCAAAGGAGCCCTTCAAGTAACCCTTAACCCTAAACCCTAGACCCTAAACCCTAAACTCTAAACCCTAAACCCTAAGCCCTAAACCCTAAACCCCCCCCCCCTTTCTGTCGTGGCAGCTAAGGCGCAGCTCGCTTCTCTCAGCGGCCGCCGGGGCATCGCAGGCCGGGCAGGTGCCCAGGGAGAGGAAGACCTCGACTCTCGTTGTTCTCACCAGTTTAGGGTTTAGGGTTTAGGGTTTAGGGGTTTAGGGTTTTTTTTTAAGGTTGGGTTCGACTCTTGTCCGCCAGCGCTGGCTCCCAACGAGTACTGCATATTACAGCACCTCAACAAAACACCCCTCTACGCAAAAGCCATTTCACTCCCCATGTAGCCAAAGACGAGCCGAATCAGGTAGTAGGTTCAGAGGTGGGCTCCGACATCGAACAGGAGGACGTAGAACACGGCGACGAGCAGCTAGCCATTCTTCCCGAAGCATTCACGGTTCTCCCCATGTTCGAGGACGCGACCGTCCCACCATCCGTAGTTGCTACCATAGTCGTCCCATCCACCTGTGGTATCAGAGCAGGAGCAGCATGTGCCGGAGAGTGACCAGGACGGACTGGAGCACCATGAGGAAGCGCAGAATCTGGTACAGGACCTGGAAGAAGTGGTTCAGGACCTCGACGAAGTGGTTCAGGCAGTAGATCAGGATGTAGCCATGCATCATCCATGGCTTCCTCCACAACCCGCCTCGTGAGTCCGGGGAAGCACATCCCAAGGCGACTGCTTTGCCATCTCATTTGAGCCCTTCCATTCTCTGGTGGCATGGAGCTCTCCCCACATTCCACAGCTCTTTGCAGCAGAACCTCCATGATCGCTTCATTGGCACGATTCACACGTCCCAGAGCATAGTGGAGAACACGGAGGGTCCAACCACCATCGCGCACTCCATCGACCCCAGGAAGCTCGGCAGCCATCTCGTCCAGCAGCTGCGAAAGTTCACAGATGCATTCACGACTCACCCCACACTCAAAAAGTCGCTCCCCTTCCATGTGGTTGAGTCGTTGGACCAACATGACTTCATCCTCTTCCCAGTCCTCATCACTATTCGTCTCTGCCACGACGGTTTCGCCCCATGTGCAGGTACCCCAGGAGGCCATGGTAGAAGAACACAGCGGCAACGTTGATGTAGCGGAGGTGCTTGTAGACGAAGCCGTAGACGTAGTCAACCTTGTCGGTGCCATGGACGTAGTAGAGCTCGATGGGACCACTGGTTCGTCCTCACTTTCGTGACCGCTTTCTTCCTCAAAAACTTCTTCCCCTTCCTCGTTGTCGTCCTCCCCAGCTACGTCCGCCCCAGTGCCAGCAGCCACGGTTTCAGCTGCAAGTCGATCCCGGGGACCAAGATACGGAGCCTGCCCACTACCAGCTGGAACGTCACGTAGAGCATCTCTTTCTCTTTGTTCCCTGGCAAAAGCTGTTCTTGGGGTCCTGTCTCTTCCTCTCCCATCCCCTGTCGCTTCTTCACCCCTTCGTAGATTGTCTTGTACATCGTCCCTTTGTCCTTCGAGGCGTCGTAGCAGGAGATTGTCACGGTCAGGTCGTCGGCGAGGAGGACGTTCTTGTTCACGAAAGCGCGGCGGCAGTAGATCTGGTCTGACCCACGCATCATCAAGTGCCACGTTGTAGGCCTGGAGGAAGACATTGGCCATGACCGCCCCTTGTTCACGACAGGGGTACAGTACTCGCCCACGTTCAGCATCATCACTTGGTAGGTACGCCCCACCCGCCACTTCCCTGTCCTCCAGCATGTTGATGAGCTCCAAGAGAACTCGAACACCATGACGAAGTGCCCTGGTGTGCACCATAAGGCTCCACATGCTTTGTGCCCGTATGTGCATTGGTTGGTTGGTGTCTCCCACCTATATTGCGAGTCGCCCCAAGAAGGTGTCCACCGCGGTGATGTTCGCCCCAGCCACTCCTTCATTTGTTAGCCCCTGCCACTCATCCATCTGGAAAGTCTGAACCATGCTCATGACGTCGAGGTTGTCTTCGGCTTCAGGCTCATTTTCAACATTCTCCACATTCTCCCCACGTGAAGTTCGACTCCTGCTTCGGGAACGTTCACGAGTGTTCCCCACCTCACTTCCCACTGCAGACGAAGGTGGTGCTTGTTCAGGCACTTGAACTGGTAGCTGAGGAGCCGCAAGAGCTGGTTGGTCAGGTAGATCTGCGGCAGGAGGTGGCGGAAGTCTCACCCCTTCCGGCAGTCGAGCGAGGCGCGTGGTGTGGTATCTCAGCAGGTCATCGGCCACCCCCAAGAGAACGCGCATAATACGCCCAGCCACCCCAAGAAGTCTGGTACGTTGGGCAGCGACACGCGGTTCACGAAAGAGAGGTACATGACAAGCAGGGTTGGGGCCCAAGCGTCTCTCCACGATCTCCGTGACGGACTGTAACACCCCAAGAACATGTCTCCATCGCACCATCCATTGTCGAAGTGCCCAACGCCCCTCCGGTCCTTCTTCCATCGTGTCTAGGTCATGTAGTGCACGCAAGAGGTTACGAAGTTCACGTCGCCCCTGGTCATAGATACCCAAGTTTTCCAGCTCTGTTTCTTCTGACATCCCCAACTGCATGAAGACGTTGTCCTCCTCCTCATCGTCCCCAGCTGCATCCTGCCAGTCCTTCCAGTCCTGGCTTGTCCAAGGAGTTCGCGGTGGGGGCTCGTCGTCCCTTGGCCAGCTCTTCACTGTGGGTGCATCCTCAGACTGTTCATCCCCTTCTGGTTCATCGCGAACATCAGAGCATTCTGCATCACGACTGGAGGCAGAGCACGATGTGTGGTCCTCGGAGACGTCTTCCGACCATTGCACCTCCTCTGCGTCCGGAGGGTTCACGTCCCATTCGCTTGGTCCAGGAGGGGGCGGACGATGAAGATGACGATTGAGCATCTCGGCAAAGTCAACTCCTTGGGCAGCTTGTTGACGTTTCCTCCAAGCAAGCACAAACTCGCCCCGAGCCCACTGCTCCATCCTCGTCCGACGTTTTGTCTGCCTGACCGTCCCTTGGCCACCTGTGTGAAAGCGTTGTTCTTCTGCAGTTCGCTCTCTTCCGACCCATTGTCCATGTCTGTAAAATCCGGTCTGAGCGCGACCTTCTGGAGCAGGTTGATCAGGATCATCTTGTTGTTGTGTCACTTCGTCCCATGGTGGCGGCCCCCAAGCAGAAGGATCAGTGGCCCACTGACTGGAAGAGCTTGCAGTAGACCTTCCTTGCGCCCCATCATGAGGATCATGCCACTCTCCTTGTCCAGAAGGGTGATGTGCTTGTGGATGATCGTCCCAATGTGGTTCACGTTCACCCCCAACATCTTGTGCAGCTCTCGCAGAATCGGCTTGCCGTGAGCGATGGCGTGCATGTCGTTCTGCGCGAGTTTCAGGTAGTCGGGAATCATGTTGACGATGTTCGGCGTGACCTCGTCCTCGTTGTTGGGCATCTCCCCAAGCAGCGTCTTGTGCAGCACTTCCCGGATCGTGTTGTCGTGAACGATGGCGTGCATGTGCTCTTGTGTCAGTTTCAGGTAGTCGTGGATCAGGTTGCCGGTGAGCACCTTGGCCACGTTCATATTCTCGAGCACCACCCCCAGGAGGGCCTGTACTGGAAGAGCTCGCTCCCCACTGGCTGCCATGATCTCCACTCATCCCATCTCTTCTCCAGTTGTTGCTGTTGGTGTTCCATTGTGACGTCCACTCCGGCGCCCCAACCACTTGCTTGTGCAGGTAGAGGACGAACGTCAAGAGGAAGATGAATGCGAGACGCCCCTTCAGCAGCGGCGCCACCATGGTCGCGAAAGGCGATCTACGAATTGGGGTCCTCAGGAAAAGTGTTCACCATTAAAGAACTCAGAGGTCATTCTGAAGTCAAAGTAAAGGTAGTCGTCGACAACAAAGTAGAAAGAATAGAGTGTTCACGTGCTTGCATGTCAAGAACACTGAGGAGGCTGCAGGATACACATCAGCATGGCAAGCTTCATACGTACTTGCAGACGCCCCTCAAGCTCCCAAACACAACTGACGCCCCCTTGACCAGGGTAGGTCCATGTCAAGGATCCACTTCTTCATGACCTGCTTCCAGCCCTCCCTCGACTCACATGCAAGATACCATTTCTCACCGAGACAACCAGCAAGTGAACGCTCCAAGTTGGAGGCTCTGAATCTCTTTGGGTGACCCCAAACTCCTCCACAACTGCATCCTAGCCGTGAGACCCCGGACAGCTCCCTCGCGTTGGCGCATCCAATGCCCCGCAACTTGGTATTGTAGCCGTAGTATTTTGCTGCTCCAGCGTTCCGCCCCATGAGTAGCGATCCACTGCCGAACTTGCCTGAGTGACCGGGCATTGTAGCTGATCCAATCTTCAGTGGCTCCCCGTTTGATGCCAAAGGCAAGCCGCAACACGCGAAGCTGAGTGCTGTTCATCATCTGGAGGTCAGTGATTTCCCAGTATGTCGCCCCAGCCGACCAGCTCCACACCCCTTCGACCAACATCTGCACCAGGTGGTACTTGTTCGCGAAGGATCCCGCCCCACACAGTAGTGCCTTATGCTCATGGAAAGCCGCCCAGACCCGACCATGTAGTTCACGCGCTTGTTGTGATTGGCATGCGTCCAAGTCGTAGTCGAGCCCCAGAACACGTATGCTGTTGCCAGGCGGGAGGATGTCAATCTTGGCCCCATCAAACGCAACTGTTCTTCTCCCCTTGTAGTATTTGCTTGCAATGATGGTTGTCTTGGACGCTGCAAGACGAAGTCCAATCTTTCCCAGTTCACTCGAGAGCTTCTGGATGTTTTTGGACATGATGCAGGCGTTGCTGGTCCAGACAAAGATATCATCCTGGTACGTCCCAACATCAGCGGGCAGGTCAGACAGAGTGCCAGTGGGTTCATGCCATTGCTTTCCTGCCTTGAGCTTGTTGACGACGTCGGAGACTATCAGGCCAAATAGTTCCGCAGATTCAGGAGAGCCTTGACGAATCCCCCGATTGCAGCGAACCTGAACTTCACCGCCTCCCGGAGCCGTCCCAAAGAGCGTGTTCTCATGCAAAACCATAAGCAAGAAACGCCATTCAAAGGGAACGTGTTTACCTGCAAGGTGTTTCTCAAGGAAGTCCGCAATGGCCGTCCTGCTGACATTGTCAAAGGCAGCTTCAAC